GCCCCCCATTTTATCCGCATCCAGGTGAGTTGGGGCAGGAGGAGCAGCTGGGTGGGACCAGACTGGGACGGTCATGGCCCAAAGCCACAGTATCTGCCCTGCAGGACACCCTGGAGACCACGAGCACATTCAAACTGGTCAAGTCCCACTTGGTGCGAGAGGGCTTTAACGTGGGAGTCATCACTGACCCTCTGTTCATACTGGACCGCCGGGCCCAGGCCTTCCGGCCCCTGATGGCAGACACATACCAGGCTGTGTGTGACGGAACCTGGAAGCTCTGACTGCCTGGCCTACCCACAGGACATCTGAACGGGGAGGAACCAAGGCTGACCCTCCAGGCCTGCACAGAGCTGTTGTGATTCCAGGTGTACAGGCTGGGAATAACCCTGGCCCTGGTAGCCGAGCAAGAATAAATGCAAATGTGTACAGAGGTCTGTGTGTGGATGAAAAAATGACAGAGGAGTGTGAGGTCTCCTCCCAAGGACATCAGCTATCCAGGGGAATGGTCCTCTCTGGGTAAGGCCAAAGGTGGGGCAGGAATGAGAGAAGAGCACTACCAAGGCTGAGGCAGGAGGGTTCATGAGTTCAAGGCCAGCCTGGGCTACATAGCCAGACCGTGTCTCAAAAAACAACAAAAAAGAAGCACTCCCTTCATTTCCTGGTCTTTTGTGGCCTCTGAGCCTCCTGGGCTTGGGTCAGCAGATAATGGAAGTGGAGGGAGCGCTTGTAATCTGTGTTCTGGGGGGGTGAGAAGGAAGTGTGGATGGGTCCTCTGACAAAGACTGGAAGACATTGGACTGAGGAGGAGGGGACAGAAAGAGAGAGAGGTGAGTGCCTGGCTGAGTGAACAGCACACGCAAGGCCCTGGGCTGAGCTTTGTGGGGAAGCAGCAGTGGAGACAGAAGCCCCTGGGACCCGGAGTCTCCAGGGCGGGCAGCACTTCCTGAGGCACTGCCAAAGCTCTAGACAGGTTTACAGGGGCCAAGGTCTCTGGGATACGGACTCTGCGCTCTAAGGAGCTGGGAATGCTTCAGGGAGCGTTCTGGGGAAGGAGATGAGCGTGCCTGGACACAGCCTCTGGGAAGTGCTGTGACCGGAAGTGCCCGTCAGGCTGGCACCATGGAGGCAGGAAGTGCTTGCGGCCTCTCCCCAGGCCCAGGTCAGCACAGGTACAAGGGAGTTGGGCCCTCAGTGCCTCTGGTGGCTTCAGCGAGGTCCTACACCAAGCATGCTGTCATCCTTGAGGCATCTGCCCTGGCTGCTATCACCTGAGGTTGTCTGCCCTGCATGGCCGATGGAGCTGAGTGTGGAGCCCAGGCTCCCAGAAGAACTGCAGCTTCCTGCATGGTCCAGGCCACCATCTGCTGTTCCTCCAGGAGCCACCGTGGCCCAAAGGAGCTTAGCTGCGCACCTGCAGCAGCACAGCAGGGCCAAGCCCTTTCGGGGTTCCTCTGATCAGTGAGCCCCTGGCCCTTGGGAGAGCTTGCCACCTCTGCCACACCCTGGTTCCCTGCCTGGTGTGCAGCGGGTCCTGACTCAGAGGCCAGGCTGGTCTCCTGGCGGCCCACCCCTCCCGCCATGAACCCAGTAGCTCATTGTTACTGTTAAGGCCTTTATACCCTCTGGGACCAAGCAGCCCAGAACGGGTTTAGACCGCAAGGATGAAGAGCAAAGGCTGGTGCTGGCCACCCCCACTCAGGCCACGTGCTCTATGTCTCTCTGACCTTGAAGGCCTGCTCCCCAGAGTCTTTGGGCTCCTGCACAGGCTGTCCATGATCTGGTGCCAGCCTGAGACCAGGTGTCACGATCTCTGTTGCGTGTGCTACGATGAGAATGGGGTAAAGCTTCGGCCATCCCCCAGTGGTCAGTGTTGCGTTCCTTTGTCATTCACTTCTAGGGCTCCTGGTCAGTGAGGCTGTGTCACTATTTCCTACTATCAGACAAAGCTAGCGTCAGGTATGTGGGCCTAGAAAATCTGCTCAATCGGGAGATTACCAAGTACTTAACACACCGAGGACAAACAGTGGGGATGTATGATGGATTTGAACCGAGGTATTTAGATCCCAGCACTTGGAGTGTAAAAAGAGGTAGCCACTTACAGCAAGGCCTGGGGTAAGTTCCTAGAACAATCCATTTCCTGTACCTCAGTTTCTTCTAGTGGAAAATGGGGCAGATGATTGTGCTTATCTTTTTTTTTTGGTACCATGGATCAAACTTGGGTCCTTGTGCTTGCACAGCAGGTGGCAAAACCACTGAGCTAAATCCCTAGCCCAATTGTACTTATCTCTCTTTTTTTTTTTTGGTACCAAGGATCGAACTCAGGTCCTTGTGCTTGCGCAGCGGGCGGTGAAACCACTGAGCTAAATCTCGGGACCACCAATTGTACTTATCTTGAAGGGTGTTTATGAGGCTTGAATAAGACAGGGAAAGCTCCCTGAAAAGGATATGTTATCCTTCCTGTTGGCATCGGGCTCTTGCTGCCATTCAAGGCTGCAGTTTTTTATCTGTAGGGCGGGCATGCTGCTCCCACCTTGCAGTGTCATTTGAGGGGACCTTCATAAACAACTACAGGAAGAGCTCGGTGTAGTGGCCCACCTCAGTGATCCCAGCACTTTCAGGGGCCGAGGCAGGAGGATCGTGAGTTCAAGGCCATCATGGGCTACCATGTCAAAAAAGAAAAAAAAAACGGCACAGTGGTCTGTAATCCCAGCACTCTGGAAGGCTGAGGCAGGAGGACCAAAAATTGGAGGCCAGCCCAGGAAATTTAGCAAGAACTTGTCTGAAAATATAAAAGAGTTGAGGACACACCTCAGTGCCAAGGCCCTGGGTTCAATCTCTAGTACTACAAAAAAAAAAAAATCCACAAAACAACTACACAAACAAACTTGTGTCTCAGAACCCTGATGACTTCCCTTGGGGCCAAGCCAAAGCTAGTACTTATCAAATGGCAACTAATCCTTGATGCACGTCCGGGGGGTTGTAGCATCATTCACACTTCATGCTAGAGATGGCCCCACTGAGAGGTGCTTTAACTATGATTTATTTAGCCAACTGCATCATTGCAGGTGTGGGTCAAAGGATATTAATGTTATTGTAGGTCTCACTGTAGATCCTCAAGTATACGAGTTCCCTGGCACTTTATTCAAATCCATTTTTCCCAGAGCCCTAACCATTCACCTCCTCTCCCCCCATACTGAGGATTGAACCCTGGGCCTTGCACTGAGCTACAGCCCCAGCCTTTTAAGTTTTTAAAATTTATTTTGATTGGGGCTGGGGATTTAGCTCAGTGGTTTCACTGCCTGCTGCACGAGCGCAAGGACCTGAGTTTGATCCCCGGTACCAAAAAAAAAAGAATTTTACTCTGATGCATGCGTGCACGCCTGTGTGTGTATGTGTGTATTTTACTGGGTACTGAACCTGGGGCCTCACACATGCTCGGCAAGTGCTGCACAATGGAACTGCATCCGCAGCCCCATCACATAATCTTGACCTGTGTATCACTTATTCATGTGTTGACAGTGCTGTGCCTACCACTGCTATGCACTGGCTATGCGGCTATGCACCAGGGAGGCCAGACCCTTCTCTCACAGAGCTGGTATTTTCCTGACTGCTTCAAAGCTTGCAGGTTTTATCAGCGTAATAAAATTTCTGAGGTGAATTCCTGCTTCATAGACTCTCCACATTTATGTTTTAGTCATTATTTATTTGGAGCTTTAAAATGTTTTGTTTCGTTGCAGTTTATGTTGCAGACTGGTTGGGGGAGTCTGGAGATCGAGCCCAGGGGCTTACACAGCCAGGCAAATGCTCTACCACTGAATGAAATCCCCATCCCTTTATATTTTTATTTTTAGCTGTAAGAGAATAAATCTGGGCTTGGGGATGTAGCTCAGTGATGCCGCATCTGCCTGGCAAGCACAAGGTCCAGAGTTTGATCCCTGGTACAAAAAAAAAAATCTGTCATTTCAATCCACCTAGACCAGCTACTAAGAAGTGAACACTACCTTGGTTAAGTGTGGAATGACTGTCCAGGGCACCAGCAGACATGGCCAGGCAGCAGGGCACTGGCCCTTTACCCCCTGCTGCATGACCACAGGCCACGTGGGCCTGTGCCCTGGCCTTGATCTGTGTGTGTTCATCCACGCTTAGAAAGAAAGGCCTCCCACTGCCCACACAGCTCAGGCTCAAGAGCCAGGCCAGGGCCGGGGATTTAGCTCAGTGGTTCCACCACCTGCCTCACAAGCACAAGGTCCCAAGTTCGATCCCTGGCACCAAAAGAAAAGAGCTGGGCCAGCAAGGCTGGTGAGTAATGTGGGTGGCCAAGCAACAAGACGGGCTGGGGGCCAGAGGTGGACACTGGGGCTGGCCCTCTGGATTGCACAGCTGCCCCATGGCTCTAAGCCGCCAGGCAAGGGGCACATCCTGCTGATTTTCTGGTCAGCAGAAATGAGATATCAGAATTTTTATTCAGAGACTTTCCTATTATCGAAGTATAATTTATGTTAAAAATCTAACCTGTAATCCTAGCTACTAGGGAGGCTGAGGCAGGAGAACGCCATGATCAAGGCTAGCCTAGGCAACCTAGTGAGACCCTGCCTCAAAAATTTTTTTTGGGGGGGGCTGGGGATTTAGCACAGTGGTTTCACCGCCTGCTGCGCAAGCACAAGGACCCGAGGTCAATTCCTGGTACCAAAAAATTTTCGAACTCGGGACCTTCTGGTCAGGCACTGGAACCACTGAGCTAAATCCCCAGCCCCCGCCTCAAAAGTTTTTAAAAAACAGGGGTAGGGTACAGTTCAGTGATTGCCTAGCATGCAAAAGGCCCAGGGTTCATACTCCTGAGCCTCTCCCCAAACACAAACTGCGCACTTGGAAAGCAGGACATGTAATGGGCAGGACAGGCAAGCAGTGGGTCATGAGGGGTGGGGGTTGATCTCCAGGACTGCTGACCTGGTACAGGCCGTTCTTTCTACAGGTGACTGAGGATGGTTGAAAGTACCAGCTCTTTTTATATTCTTTTAATTTTTTTTTTGGTACCAGGGATCAAACTCAGGTCCGTGCGCTTGCACAGCAGGCGGCGAAACCACTGAGCTAAATCCCCAGGCCTGTGCCAGCTCTTTTTGATAATGGGAAGTGGGCCAAGTATGAGAGGGCCTCAGTCAACTGAAAGGGAACCCTAAGTGGAGGGGGACCACAAACTAACCAGGAAGGAGCGCTAAGGGCTCTCCACCCAATGGGACAAGCACATTCATTGCCCTGGGTGTCCCAGAGTTGACCTATTCTCGTTATCATATGCTTAAGGCTTCATACATATGTGCCACCCCTCATTAATTACTGACAGATGACAGGAAACGCATGCACAATTCAAACTTAAACGTAAGGCAAGAGGAAAGCATAAATGTGCAGGAGCAGGTGTGGAATACCCTACTACAGTAAGTATGGTAAAATACGAGAAACCAGAACAAAGGAACAGTGGCTGCGCCGCCCAGGCTGGCGTCCCGGCTTGCTGCTACCTTGTGCTACTTCACAATACACCTTTTCACTGTGCAACAACCTCCTGGCTCGTGCACACTCTCTTGCCATTTGTGAGCTGGTCCAGGCCAATTCCTCTCCTCGGGTCATCAAGCACCACAAAAGGACAGGTCACAAGAAGGTCACTCGGAAGAGAAGCCAGCTGTGCTTTCCTGGGCCTCTTGTCACCTTCCACAGGCAGACTTGGGGCCCTGCCGCTGCACGGGGTACACGCCAGTTCCTGAGTGTCCACTGCCGGCAGTGAGGCCCTGGAGGGAGGAGTGCGGTCAGCGCGCGTTGCATCCTGTGTGAGGAGCGTGGGCTGGGTGGTCACTGAGGTTGCACAGTGGCTGTCGCAGCGGACCTGGCCTCCATCCTGGGCTGGCTCCTCCTCACAGTGCCTCCGGCTGGTGGCTTTTTCGGTGGATGACCAGCTGCGACTTCCAGTCGAAGGCACGGCCACAGTCCCCGCAGGCATGACGCCGCTGGCCAGCGTGGGCCTTGCGGTGGATGACCAGCTGCGACTTCCAGCTGAAGCTGTGGCCACAGTCCTGGCACACGTGACCTGGTGCACGGCGTGGGGTGCTGCGGGGCGCACAGGGTGGTGGCACGGGCTCCGGGGCACGAGCGTGCGAGCGCCTGTGCATTACAAAGACGGACTTCCAGTCAAAGCCACAGCCGCACTGCGCACAAGTGTAGGGCTTCCGCGCAGTGGGCAGGTCCTGGTGGGCAGGGCGCGGACTCAGCTCTGGGTCGGGGTTTGGCTCCCGGTCTGGCAGCCCTGCGGATGGGGCCATCAGGCAGGCATACACCCGGACAGGGAGTGGGGCTTGGGGACCCAGGGCAAAGCGGTCCTCACCCAGGGACACCGCAGAACCGTACTTCTGCAGCATCGCATCCCAGTAGAGCTCCTTCTGCGACCGGTCCAGCAGCACCCACCGCTCCTGTGGGGAGGCCACTGTCATGGCCAGGAAGGGGTGTCCCTCCTCTGTCACCTTGAATAGGAGGGACAGCAAGAGGCCTTGGGGACCCAGCTGCATTTTGCCTAGCCTCCTTACCTGTAATGGGTCGGCCTTGTTTCTGGACACGGGGATCCCTTGTTGGGGTGGCAGGTCCAGGAGGACCCGGGATAGGTGCAGTGGGACACCTTGGGGCTTGTGAGTAGGTGACTGGTACTGTAGGAAGTTCAGGGTGCCAGCGGGGCCCCAACAGAGAGTGAGCTTGGTGCACAGCAGGGGTCCCAATGGCTCTACCAGGAGTGCACTTCCTGCCCAAGGGGTCTGCCTACCTCACTGCCCCAAAGCATGTCATCTGGGGCTTTGCTGAGTTGGGAAAAGCAATCTGAAGAACAAGCCAAAGCAGGGATGGAGAGACAGCATCCCCATGTGGTCACAGCTAAAGGTTGACAGGCTGTGAGGAAGGCTCCTTGGAGGGTGCAGCCTTCCCACTGCCACAGGGTTCTGACTGGGCCACAGGCTGTGCGGGGTGCCCAAGGGTCTTCTCAGCCTCAAAGCATCTCTCCGCTAGCAGTTGTGCTGCAGAAGTCTCTGAGTGGGGAGTCTCAGAAGGGCAAGAACTGGGAGAGGACAAAGCCCTCACTCCACACACTTGGGAACACAGGGTTGAAGGAAGCAGAGCTTTGAGCTAAGCTCTAGGCCCAGCTGACTGCCTTCTCAGAAAAGCCCTAGGAGACAAATGACTTTAGGGATTGCCTGGGAAAAGTCTCTGTTTGACCTCAGGGGTGGGGCAGGTACTACCACAGTTGGGCATCTGCCCCCTCCAGACCTGCACACATGAGTTCAAATGTCCAGGTGCTAGCCCAGCACCTCTGAGAGCCACACACCTCTCCGGGACTTCTCTGGAGATGAGGAAGCCACACAAACAAGATTTCCACGGCCTAGGTTACAAGTCCCTTCCAGCGCTGGAGACAGCAGGCTGTCCCTCTGCCCCCGGACCTGTGGGGGCAACCTGGTATTTACTTCCCTTCCAAGTAGCAAAGAGCACAAGAGTCACTGGCCAAGAGCCTGGGACCACAGGGCAGCCACCAGGGAACCCCCGACTCCAGCTCACCTGATTCCTGGGTAGTTGGAAGGATGTAGAGGCTGGTTCTTGGTGCTCCAGATGACTCTCAGGTGATGGGGCCGGAAGTAAGGGGCTGAGAGGTGCTGAGAATCGAAGCAGATGGGAAGAGGTGTCAGGAGCCACCCACATGAACCAAGTGGAGGAGGGGCTGGTGTCACTGCTGTGGCCTTGGCCCATCGCTGATGTGTGACATGATGCATAGCCAGCCCTTTGCTGCTGCCTTCCTGGAATCATCTCTGCAGTCCCTCCAGGGTCTCCAACCCAGCCAGGGACATCCACACTGAGTTTAGGACTTGGTATGACCTCTCCTGGACTCCCTGCCAGGTGCCCATAGCCCTAGTGTGACACCCGCCTCACCCATCTCCTGGCCATCCACACTGGGCTCCTCCTTCACACTGCAACTGAGCTGGGCCGACCCTTCCATCCTGGCATCCTGTGGGCCCTCCCCTGGGGCTGCTCCACAGGGATCCACTGTTGCTGAGGGCTGAGGGCTCCCTGAGGATTCCTCTGTCTTCTGGGATGCAGGCAGCACCTCTGGCTTCAGGATGTGGGCTGTGATCTAAGGAGAAGAGGCATGTCACAGGGCTCTCCTTTCAGTCTGTCCCCCTGGGAAGCTAATGCAACCACACTCACCCAGCCTAGCAACTGTCCAGGGTCCTGCTGCAGCCCCTCTACCAGGGCAGCAGCCTCCTCAGGGCAGCCTGGCTGCTGCCTTCGTACCCAGGCCTGGATCTCAAGGGGCAGTGTGCCCAGGAACTGCTCCAGCACCAGCAGCTCTAGGATCTCCTCCTTGGAGCAGGACTCAGGCCGCAACCACTGGTGGCACAGCTCTCGGAGCTGGGCCAGCGCTTCCCGTGGCCCTGCCACCTCCTTGTAGCAGAATCCCCGGAAACGAAGCCGGGCACCTTCAGGTCCCTTGAGGTTGGTCTCGGAGTCCCCCAGGGGCAGGTATGAGGGACCGAGAGGGGATGGCATTCTTTTCTGTGTCTTCTTGGAACTGCCAAGAGGAACCTACAGAAAAGGAGAATGAGTGTCATCCACGGGGGCCTGGCCAGGTGAAGGCAGACACTAGGGGCCAAACCTAGGGGCCAAACCTAGGGGCCAAGGCCAGGATAGAGAAGGCTCTGAGGCCTGGGACAGCTTCATGGGAGATTACAGGAACTGACTGCTGATGAGACTGAGACCAAGAAGGTCAGGACCAGGACCAAAAGGAAGCCTTGAGGAAAAATGCCTGGATGCAAGGTAACCAAAAATTTTCCAGGAAATGGCAGTTGGGTCAGATACAGAGAACTATTGGGAGATGACAAAACAGTGGCTCCTCCGGCTGGAGGTAAGGTCATTTGGGAAGGTGGAGCAGTGGTCCAGGGCGGCAAGTAGAGGCAGGGCGAGTCCATCCCCACAGTGTCCGGGACATCTGGCTCTGGGACGGGGTCCGGCTGGGGTTGAAGCACAAGGTGCGTTCGCAGGAGCTGATGGGATTGAGATTCCATGCTCCCTACCGCCCGGGCCCGTGCATGGAAAGCCAAACAAAACGCTCGCTGCATGGACTGATGGGCAAGAAACTGATTCCCGAG